AACAATCTTTATTATCAGTATTATTTTTATTTTATTTTATTATTTTGGAGACAAGGTCTTGCTATTGTAGTCCAGGCTGGCCTTGAACTTGTGATCCTCTTGCCTCAGCTTCCCAAGTGCTGGGATCTCTGGTGTGTGCCACCACACCTGGCAATAGTCACAAGGTAGATCAGATGTCTATCATTATAAAAGGATGGAGAAACAAACTGTGATATACTTAAACAATGAAATACTACTTCAGCAATAAAAAGGCATAAACTACTGCTATCCACAACATGAATGAATCCCCAAAACATTTTCCTGATGTTTGAAAGAAGCCTTGCATAAAACAAGTACATATTCTATTAGTCCATTTATATGAAGATGAAAAACAGGCCAAAGTAATGTAGAGTGACAGAAATCAGAAAGGTGGCTGCCCTGTGTGACTCAATAAAGAGCATCACAAAGCACTTGGAGGTGCCAAGTGAACTGTGAACCATGGACTGACCCTGAATGTGAACACCACTCATTTCCTCGTGTAATTAGTGACATAAAACTATCTCAAGTGGAAGGGACCAGATTAATCAATCTCAGATGATAGAAAGTCCCTAAATCTTGACTGGGATGTGAATTACATTTGTATACATTTGCTAAAACTGACCAAATTATAGTAAGATCTGTACCTTTCAGTCTATAAAAATTTTTTTTCCAGTACTGGGGATTGAACTCAAGGCCTTCACACTGAACTACATCCCTTGCCCTCTTTTAATTTATTTTGAGACAGGGTCTTGCCAAGACACTCAATTGCTCATGCTGGGCTTGAACATGGGATCCTCCTGCCTCAGCCTCCCAGAGGGCTGGAATTACAGATACGCATCACCATGCGGAGTTTACATATTTATCTTTTTTTAATTGACCTGGGTAGTAATTTGCTTAGCCAGGGACTCCAAAGGATTCATTTTAGAACTATCCAATTTAACAAAGTTTCTTTATGGCGGCTCTTTGAAACCAAGGTCAGAGATCTTTGTAGAAATCTAAAAGATACTTTCAGTAATTTTCCTTAAGGACTCTCATTTGTCATTTAAATATTTCTTAAAAATAATTCACCAAAATTTTATGTCAATAACTGCATGTATGGAGGTCAGGCATGACAGCATACACTTGTAATCCCAGGTGCTCAGGAGGATCACAAGTTTGAGGCAAACGTGGGCAAGTTAGCAAGAGCCCATCTCAAAAAATGAAATAAAATAAAATGGACTAGGGATGTAGCTTAGTGTAGAGCCCTTGGCTAGCATCCACCAAGGCCCTATGTTCAAGCCCTAGTACTACACACACACAAAGTAAATTTTTAAAAAGTAAAATAATTCTCCTAAAATGCTTTTTTATTTTAGTTAATTCAAAACAATGTAATATTTTAGATATTCTTGTTTCCAAAGTGAAATTACCCACAATTCCATTTACTTATTTATATGGATCAAATTCTTGGTATTATGTGCTACAGTAGAAATTTTGTAACAATTCCCCAAAGGTCCTAGCAAGACAAACAATAGCTGGGCCTCTGTGCAGCTAATATCACTACCAAAAAAATCACAGTAAATCCTGAAAGCTCATAGTCATGACATTACATCCTTATGTTAACCATTCATGAACAATTAAATGCTCTCTATTGAAGGAATATGAACAAAAGCTTTTTTCATATTTTTACTAAGACATAGTAAGGGTTTTTATTAATCTTTAGACACAAGACACGTACTTTAACAAGGAAACCGGCCCAGTACAATGGTGCATGCCTATAATCTCAGCTATGAGGGAGGCTCAAGCAGGAGGTCTGCAAGCTCCAGCCCAGCCTGGGCAACTTAGTGAAACACTGTTTTAAAGTAAAATAGAGAAAAAAGGCCCAGGATGGTGTTTGCCTAGTATGAGGCCCTGGGTTGAATCTTCAATACCTTGCCTAAACAAACAAACAAACAACAAATAGAAAAGGAAAATTAGTCATCAAAGTTCTCATAAAATCCAAGTTGAAGAACTATAATAAGGCCAAGCATGGTAGCAGAGGCCTGTAATCTCAGCACTTTAGAGGCTGAGGCAGAAGGACCGCCACAAGTTTGAGGCCAGCCTGAACTACATAGTGAGACCCTGTCTCCAAAAAAAAAAAACCCAAACTGGAATAAAACATAAGAAATCATCCTTTCTCAACATGTAGATGGAGAACCAAAGGCCAAAGATGAGAAGTTATGGCTCAAGATCACACAGGGAAGTTAGGTGATGGCAGAGGCCAAAGAGATGGTTAGAGCTGACAACCCACTCTGAGGCCTCGCACAATCATTCTAAGACAATGTCCGTCACACAGCACAACACCTGTAATCCATTACGTAAAATCTTACTCTGAAAAAAAAAGATAACATTCACACAACCTCTTAAAATAGTGTAAATCAGGGGACTGGGGATTTAGCTCAGTGGTTCCGCTGCCTGCCTTGCAAGTGCAAGGTCCTGAGTTCGGTCCCCGGTACCAAAACAAAAACAAAAAAAATAGTGTAAATCAGTAAAATCCCTTAGCAATGTCAAGAGGAAAACCAAAACCATAACTAGTTATAATTGTTCTCTACTGATAGTTTCTAAAAATGCATGACCAAAAAAAAAAAAAGTACATGACAAAATGAGAAAAAGGACAATACAATGAGTGCTTCACAAAGTCTTATTTCTTTAATGTAAGGGACTATTTTCTGTACTGAGATTAAGTCTTACTTTTTGGTGTTAAAATGACCTTTCCTTTAAGAAATAATGGGGACAATAGTTTCTGGTTTTTATTTTTTTGTGTCCTTACTTGGCAAAATTAAAAGCAGGAAACCCTGAAATTCTCCCAAATTTCAAAAATATTATTGGCCAGTAAAAACTCTGATCTAAGCATAAGCATGAGAGCATGATACTGTTAAAATTCAGAAACAAAGAATGTGAGTCTGTAGGAAGAGATCAGCAAGGTAAACCTGAGTGAAACATCTAATTCTGTAATTTTCCCTTTGAAGAAAGGCAGTTTGAAGTGTTTTTAGTTCTGTTCGAAATCAAATAAAGCACATTAATTAACCAAATGAAGTTAAACATCCACTGAACACTATGTTTATTATTTATCCCTTTCCCTGCAAACTGTTAGTTCTATCAGGACAGAACAATTTAGTGATTAGTGCTCAGTTTGTAGGATGGTATCTAGCACACATCAAAGTTTCTCCCTAAATACTTAATGAAAGAATGAAATGCTCAGCACCATGCAAGGCACTGCAGTCTTAGTAGCTGCTACTTTACAGGATCTGATATAAACAAATTCATTAATGCAGTGGAATCTCTTTTTTTCAAAGACCTCAAATTCATCCTGCCTCAGTCTCCCAAATGCTGGGATCACAGGCATACACCATCAGGCCTGGCCAGTGGAACCTCTTTAGAATACTTACACTGGGAAATTGTCCTAACTTATTCCTTATAAGTGTAACTATATCAAGAATTTTAATTGATTAGTTGATTCAGAATTTGTGATATGGCTCGAGGTACATTTAATAAAGGACCATAATGGAATGCCATCATAGTAAATGGGAAGCGTTTACTGTCATTTGTTTCATTAATGTATCTTCAATGACATCTATCTTTTCCCAAGGAGCTCAAAACCTTGTTCAGTCATTGTTTCAAACTTCAGCAAAGCAATATAAAGATTGTCCTACAAAACTTTTATCAGCTTGATGGATATCTACAAGCCTTTTGACGGTGACCAGTATTGCAGAGGTGACACTTGAAAAGAAGAACCAGCAGTCAGAAATAAGCTTCACTGCTGTGGGCTACAATTTCAATTTTTATTTCAAAAAATCTTTTTTTTCTGAACTATCTAAATCATGTTAGACTCACTCTGATCTGTGTCAAGCCTGGAAATTGGCTCTGTATTATTTATATAGCTGTATTCCTTCACACAACTTCACAACCTCGGGGTTCAACCTGGAATCGTGTGTTTATCAATGCTAACAAAATGCTGACAGGTTCTCTCCTTTGCCTATGGTGAATCACTAACGTTAAATTTAAATGAAAAACTATAAATTCCAAGTGTAGTTCCAGATGAAAAGAGGGTTCCCAAAGCAATAGTTTCTGTCAGGGTAATGAAATATTTCCTCAAGAGAGACAAGAACTATGCAGTGCCATTGGTTTTATGTTATCTCATTTAGAACTTCACAGTCATAGCCTGCCTGAGCCAAAGGATCGACCAGCTGTAGTAATTAAAACAACAGCTACACTCAATGCCATTAACTATCAGGGCAAAGCTTTGAAGTCACTTTAATTTTCTTGGCAAACATCAGGGTAGTTAAATGGTTTTTCTCTTCCTGCTCACAGAAACAGTCAATAAATTATTTGGTTCAACTTAATATAGCCAACAATTTTAAAAGCTGCTGATATTGAAAATAATGTATTTCAACCCTTGAACACAAGCCCATTTTAGAACTCAAAGCATCAACCACAGGTTCCTAAAAATAAAAATCAAAGGCCCATCTCTTATTTCAAGACTGATTCCTTGAAAGCTCTAGATACTGAAGAGGTCAGCTATCATAGGGTACAGAATAACTCTTGTTCAGGCAACAGAGGTTTTCTCCACATTCTTACAAACCTGGTTTAAGACAAATACTTCCTAATACTAGTTTAGACACTATATTATCTGCTATTAACAGGTAATAAAGAAAACTCAGGGCCAGGGATTTAGTTCAGTGGGGGGCGCCTGCCACAAAAGCGCACAGTCCCGAATTCGATATCCGGTACCAAAAAACAAGAAAAAGAAAACTCAGACCTGAATTCTTTTGTTTAAATTCTTATACATGAAACTAGATGGCCAAAAACACTTTGGCTCCACGTGGCAGTTTTGTGAAGTTGGGCAAGATCTTTAATTGTGCCGTATGCTTCAGCATTCTCTTCTGTAAAAGGCACTGCTACTACCACTGCTCAAAGGAGCAAGCTGTTAGCACACTCAGCACAGAGTAAATGCTGCTATTACTTACACTCGGCATCATCAGCTACACGCACACAAAACTCTGAGACCTCCCCTGCAAGAAAAAAAACACAAAATCCAGACGCTTGGATAACAGCTGAAGTGAACAACAGGGACATCTGGGCAGGGGGATATAGGCTTCCTCTTTCCTAGCTCATTTGACATAAAGGTTATTATTCAACATCTGGGAGGTAGTAATTAGCAAATACGTTATTAAATGCCATTTCCTCCAATCTTGGACAGTAAAACTAATTTTTCTTTTTACATAAAAATCCTTTCTAAATTAAAAGAACTAAACATAAATGGAAATCCAATGATTCTCCCATGTGACTACAAAAACAAAGCAGGCAGAAACACACTGGGAAAGAACATGAGAAAACATTGACAATAAATAGTGTATCAGTAATATATAAAGAGTACAAGTGAAAAAAAAAGAGTCCAAGTGAACTGAGGAAACTAAAAATTTTCTCTATAAAATTAGTAAAGTTTTACAAATGAACAATGATAACACTATTTGTGAGAATATAGTGTTGTTTACATTTCTTTGGAAAAATGCATTTAAAAAAACTGGCAATAGAGACTCTTCTCAAGGACATTTAATGTCCTTTGACTTTATCACTGTACCACTAAGGAAATAATTTGAAATCTGGCCATAGTTTTAGATACAAAAATATTCATTCAATATTATGCTACTGTAATACCTTGAAAACAATCTAAATGCATAATAAGAACTTAAGTACATATAAAAATTGAATGCAATGAAGACATTAAAAAATCTTTAGAATAAGTTTTTAATAATAAAGGAAAATGCTTCTGATTTACTACCAGGTAAAAGAAGAGAGAATGTAAAAATACACACATATCACCTAATCAACCATGTTAAAAAAATGTAAACAACTGAAAAAAATAGAAAAATTTTACTAGTGAGTCTAACTGGACAATAGGAAGATAATTTTATTTTCCTTTTACACATCATCATTTTTAAATTTTCCACAAACTGTCTCTATTTTATATAGCCAGGCATTTCAAAATATTATTAATTTTTAAAAGGCTATAAAAATGGTGACTGTACTACTTCATAAACCTGAGGCTTAGTTTCCTCATCTACAAACAGGGTAAGAATTCTTCCTCTTCGAAGTTACTGTTAAAATCAACAGAGCCTGATACATGTTTTTCCTTTTACTAAGTGGTTTTCAACAACTGGGCTTTGAGGTTCTGTAATAATTGGAAATGTTCTCCATGCTTAGTTTTGTTTTGTTTTTGGTACCAGGGATCGAACTTGGGTCCTTGCGCTTGCGAGACAGGCGGCAGAACCACTGAGCTAAATCCCCAGCCCTCCATGCCTTCCTGAATCATTGTCCTCTTGTCTTATTTCCTCCACTTGCTCCCACACCCCTTCTAGTTCGCTGCTCCCAGTTTGCAGCCAACTAAGAAATCACATGGTCCCACCCAGAGATTCTAGACTAGCAACTCACAAACAGAGACTGTTTGGCACACACAGTGATGTTATATGTCAATTAGGGGGCAAAGTGTAAAATTTGGGAGATTTCATATAAAAATCCGCATTTCCAGCTCTGGAAAAATAAGATTTGGCAACACCAGGGCTGGTACTGTCAAACAGCAAGTAGTCTCCAGCTGACTATAACTCTCACTACACCCTAATGATTCCGAGGCACTGACCCTAAAGATCAGCTGCCATATATTATGATACTTAAACTTATTTTTTAAGAAATAGGTAGGGTCTTGCTATGTTGCCCAGGATGGCCCTGAAATCCTAGGCTCGAGCAACCCTCTTGCGTTAGCCTCCTCAGCAGCTGGAACTACAGGAGTAACCACCATGCCCCAGCTGGACTGCTTTATCTTATTCTGGGCTTGATTCACTGTTTAGCCTCAGTGGTTATATTTTTTATTAGTACATGTTTCCAGTACACAATGTTTAATTCCTTGTGTGGACTTGGTAGTAGTACATATGTTAAGTCCATTTTCATCCCCTCCATCTCCTGATCCCCTTCTCATTACCTAGTTTCATCAGTCAAGAGTCCAATCAATAGAAAGCACAAAATAATGAACAGGGTAAATAAGTTTAAAGAATAACTTGAACATGGGACTAAAGCAATAAGGAACTGGCTAGTGAGAGAAGCCTAAAGAGCATGGGAGCAGCAGATATGAGGATCAGCTACTGGATCAGCTACTTCCCTAGGCCTGAGAGAAAGATTGGCTCACAAAGACGTTCCACAGAGGCTGAGATCCAAACCCTGTTGAAGAGGGCACGGCCAGCATGCAATAAATGACAGAGAAGTTTCAGAGGTGCCAAGCCAGAGGAACTTGCTGACAATATAGACTCCAGGGTGTCAGGGAAACTGTTCATGGGAAATCGTCTCACTGGCCGCTCTCCTAGGCTGCCAGTGGAACTGCCGACTGCTCAAACCCAGCAGGGGGAAGCCTCCCTGGAGGATGAAGACTGTGAACTCACTCCGCAGGCCCACCTAGGAAGCTGGATGCACCACAGGAGAGCGGCACCAGGCAGGGAGGCTGCCTAGCCACAGCAATCAGTGCCAGAGAAGCTGCCTAGGCACTGCTAACCAAGCAAACCAGAACCAAGAGGGAAAATTCCTTCCTCTTACACTCTCTCCAGTACCCTCTTACTGACAAGGCTTAACATCCAACCAGCTGGCAGAAAAAAAATACTTATAGGGCATAGATGCATTTTTTTGTAGAACAGTCAATGTAAAAGTAAATTTGGAGCTGAGAGGCAATACATTGATAAGTGCCACACTAGTCTTTAAGAATGACATAAAAAGATACACAAAGTCAAGCAAGACCCAAGGACAAGTGAACGCAAATAAAATGCTTACTCTTCAGGCTACTCAACCAATCTACTTTTCTGTTCCTTTAGATTAATGAGGTTCCTTGGAAGGCCAAGCTGTACAAGAAAGGTGCTACGAATATTCTTCATCACCATTGTAACTAACATTTATTAAGAACTTAGCATGCTACACAGGCTCTATTATTTTGTTTTGTTTTTTTGAGATAAGGAGTTGCTATGTAGCTCAGGCTGGCCTCAAACTCACAGCAATCCTCCTGCCTCAGCCTCCCAAGTACTGAGATAACAGGCATGCACTACCATCCCCAGCCACGTTCTATTGTACTCAATTTACATATATTAGCTCATTTAATCCACCCAACAATCCTATGAAGTAGGTACTCCTGTTATCCCCACTGTACAAACTGAGGAAACAGGCCTAGAGAGTTAAGTAATTTGCCTATGCTCACATAGCCAGTAAATGGCAGAGCTATGATCTGCCCTATGTAATCTTAGCACTACAATCGATGCTAAAATGCTTCTCAACAAAACCCATTGCACTGTTCAGGTTTTTACTTTTAGCATCTTCTTTCCCCAGTTTGCCTCTGTCAAAATGCATAAAGTATGAATGAGGGGCTGAGGTACAGCTAAGTGGCAGAACACGTTTAGCAGCTGAGGTCCTAATGGATGCCCACTACCAAAAAGAATTAATAAAAGTAATATATAACAAGGTATAGAAACTGGGGTTCAACATTTATAAATTGAATATTATTATTCAAAGAGGATTAAAGAGTCTACAATTCCATCATAGGTTTTTTTAAAACTACCTGTACTCATACTTTGTACTACTATTTACCTAGAATTCCAAACTGAGTTGTAAGGATATTAAATCTCATTACCATTCAACAAAAGTCTTATCTCTAAATTCTTCAAAAAACGTTAAGACTTTCACATACAGAAACATTCTGAATCCATTTCGTATCTTTCTTCAAAAAGGATCTCACTTCTTCAACAGCACAATTTAGGACTGAATAAATCGAATTGAAGATGTCAAGTGTGAAATTAATCTTGGATCGTTCAAAATGTGAACTACTTCAGATTCCAACTTGGCGGTGCTAAGGGCAGCTAAAACATATTCAGTTCTTTCTCACACATTTCAATATTTGAGACTGTTTGCCTCTGGAGTTTCAAGTCTGCCACACTACATGTAAGCCCTGAGACATACTGTGGAAAGTAAATATTAGTGACGTGCCTGATTTGGAGAGCTAAAAGTACCAATCCAAATGGGTCATATATTCATGCCTTCTCTGCACAGCATTCATTACAAAAGGCAATATCACCCAGTAATCAACTGCTCTGGCACTAGGAATCAAACTGATTTAGTTCCAAATCTCACCTCTCCTGAAGTCTGTGACCTCTCCAAGTTTGAGTTTGCTTACTTGTAATGAGAGGCTTCCCAGTATCTCACAGTCTCGTCCTGAGGATTACGTAAGGTAATGCACATCTGGACTGGGGCTTAGCTCAGGGGTAGAGCACTTGCTTAGCATGGGAGAGGCCCTCATTTTAGTCTCCAAACCACAAAAAACGGAAAAAAAAAAAAAAAAACACCCCAGTGCCTAGTACACAGGAAGTCAGGAAGTGTTCCATAAACTATTATTATGATGCAGATAAATCAATTATGTTTATCCATATAGTATCCTGGAGAAAAGGAAGTTTCTCAGGGAAATAGTATTTAACCAGATTATGTCCATGTTCTATTTTATCTAGGGATAGCCCAGATGCACAAGGCAATCCTGAGCATTGTAAAAACAGATTTTATTTTATCTAAACTTAGTTTCATCAACAAAGATCCTTATGAAACAATAATGTATAGGTCAAATCTAAGGAAGGACAAAATATTGATTGCTTTTCAGATATGAATAAATTGACTAAAGTTGCAAAGTTTAAAATCTTAGACTTTAGAAATGAAATTCCAAATGGGTAAAAAACCTTACCATAAGAGAATAAGAGTAAATTACCAGATAATAAAAAAGTCCTTAAAAATGTAACTTTGTCAAATCTACTTCAAAGAGAACCAATTGTTGGAGGAAAGCATACAGAACAAATTTGTTCTTTGAACAGAATAAACTTTTGATTTGGTGGTTAAGTCAAACCCCTAAAGATACCTACTATGAATGAATCAGTTATAATCAAACTTTAAAATGCAAAAGGATGAAACAAAGCTTAGAATGAGAATAGGTGTAGCAAAGGAATGGATGTTAAATATTAAGAAAAGTACTACAAAGCCAGGAAGCTGCAGCAAAAGCGCAGGCCTCTCCCAGTGATCACTGAACACTCAGTGGATCTGAGCTCCAATCTTAAAACAAGACCTCTGGGTTCCTGACAAACTGCTGAGGAGTTTCTGTGTTGGGAAAGGGGGAGGAAGAGGAGCTTATTCACTATTAGAAGTCTGTTGCCCCAAACAGATTTAATCAGAACAAAGATACAAATGTGAAAATCTTAACAAAATGTTTATAATCAGTACAGTACTAAGGATCCTTCTCAACATTTCCAAGTTCTTTTTGTGCTCTAGACACAGTGTTAAGCACTGCTTATATTATTTTATTTCATCCTCCAACAATCCTATAAGGGTAAGGGAAGAGATTAGGATGTTAAACAGCTCACTGAAGAAGTGACAGTGATTTTGAACTACACTGTCTCAGTTCTTTTTGAAATTAGTGCATTATTAATAATATTAAATTCTACAATAGTCCTAATTGGAGCACTACTTTCATTTGCCTATTTATGGACTTATGCTATTTTTTTTGGACTTATGCTATTTTAATCAATGAAAGATGTGGCACTATAACCCAAACTGTTCTGCAGTAAGAAAAGTATGTAAACTGAAATCTTCAGACTTTTATAGCCATATAGATTATTACAAGTATAGGAGTAATTCTGTCATTGAACCTAATAACAATTACTGTGAGCTTATAGTTTGTTTCTTTTTTGTTTTCGGCTTCATTTCATTTTTATAAATGTATTTCCCTGGATTGGAATAGAAATTTAAAACAAAAATAATCCTCAGGCAGTCAACCTAAAATCCCACTTTGGCTATCTGTTTTTATCTAACTTCATTCATCAATCACAGCAGCTACTAAGCTGAAGTTATACTGGGGAATGTAGGTTACGTATTATGTAGCACTGTAATTAAGTGCCCCCAAAAAACCTGTATATAGAACTGAATCCAAAAACCATAATACCGTGTTAAACTCAAGTATCCAACTCTGCTACCTGACAGGACCTCATTTGTGAAAAGCATACTTTTGCCTTCCTTTACAAGTTTTAGTTTTTCTTCCTACATGCTGAAAAAAATTGCTTATTTATTCACCATTACATTTGAAAAACTAGAGATTTCTTCTCTTTGTTTTATAAGTCATTTAGGCATAAAGGTAGAGTTGCTGTTGCAAAGAGTAAGGAGGAAAGTCATGAAAGTATTAAGAAAGTTGGTTTTGGGGTGAGGAGTATCACATACATTTTGTTGTTGTTTTCTCAATCTCTCATTTTATTTCTTTTTTCATACATTATTGTACTGCTTAAGACTTCCACATAATTTTTTTTTTTCAGGTACTGGGGATTGAACTCAGGACCTTGCATTTGCAAGGCAGGTGCAGGGCCACTGAGCTAAATCCCAGGTCCTCACATACACTTCTTCATGGTCTGATAAGGGAAGTGGATTCTGCTATGGCAATTTCAGACTATTTGATTTTAACTCATTTCTAAATACTGATCCTGCCATAATTAATAGTTTGATTGCTAGGCATGGTGGCGCTCACCTATAATCCCAGCACTGAGGAGGCTGAGGCAGGAGGATTCCCTTGAGTTCAAGGTCAGCCTGAACTGCATATGGAGACCCTATCTCAAAAAAAAAAAAAATTAATAGTTTGACTGGTCATCTGACTAATTCTAAGTGAAATTCTAAAGAAAAAAGTATTGAATGACAAAGCAATGGCAAGATTAAGACCATGAATATAAAGCATATTTTTTCATGCAAATGAGAGTGAACTGTAAAAGTAGGTTTGTCTGGGCCTCTTATTTATAACACTGGTGGGGCCAGGGATTTAACTCAGTGGTTTCACCATCTGCTGTGCAAGCACAAGGACCCAAGTTCAATCCCCGGTACCAAAAAAATTAAAAAAATAAAAATAACACTGGTCCCTAGGGAAAAGCTAAACTCCCTTAAAAATGGATGTCATTTAGCCAGTGTGGAAGCTTGGGGAGCTATTTCTTAAAGGGTAGAAACTGTGTTTCCCAAGTCCCTCTTATATGAAGTTATTTTTACAAATTTATAATCTCACTAGTTTCATGATTCAGTATGTCAGTCTGTAATAGCTCAGAAAGTGTTTAGTTCCTAGGAAATGGAAAATTCCAGTTGAATTCTAAAATGTTTTTGACTAAGTTATACATAACATTTATTCTATTCTAATGGCTCAAAAGGCATTGCTCCTGCTATAATAATAAATGAATATTATCTTATAATGGATTAACATTGAGGCCATACTCTTAAGTGAAATAAATAGGATACACGTGGGTAAATACCAAACAGTTTCTCTAGCGTGACAAACTGAAAGTGTAAATAAGGATCAAAATATATAACAGATAATGTAAGATAGGAAGAAAAGGTCCAAAGGGGAAGGGGAAGTCGGAGGGGCAGGGGAAAGTGAAGGTAAAGGAACAAACGAATATTATGAATGCTGATTTATGGCATTTTAAGACCTACAGCTGGAAAAAGACCACTTAACTATCTAATTGGGAAAGCCACAAATGATATGGCATACCTTTATTAATGGCCTGGTTAATAACACCACTCATGTAGATATTTCCTGTTAGTAGAAAAAAAGTAGTACAAACCTGGATCTCTCAATACTCATTCAATACTTATTCCAGAAAGTTTGAGAAAATACTGAAATTGGAAAAGTTCTAAGCATTTAAAAAAATGTTATGGGGGGGGGCAGGGATTTAGCTCAGTGGTGCCGCCACCTGCCTTGCAAGCGCAAGGTCCTGAGTTCAATCCCCGGTACCCCGGTACCCCCCAAAAAAATGTTATTGGTATACTTTTGTGATACATGATAAATATATTCATCATGGTTAAGCATTTTATAGAAATTAGAAGTTTTAGCTGAGTGGTGGTACACGCCTGTAGTCCCAGCTACTCAGGAGGCTGAGGTGGGAGGATTGCTTGAGGCCCAGGGATTTCATGGCAGCTTGGGCAACATATTGAGACCCCATTAAAAAAAACTGTACAGGTTATTTATTTGAATTGATTATAATTCTTCAAAAATATTACTTCAGTGAATCTTTAAACATACAAACCAATCCAAACCTCACAAATGTCAGGCCTAACAATGTCAATCTAATTTTAATGTAGTCATACTAGGGCAAATCTGTTTATGTTAGAGGAAGGAGAGCAGGCTCACAAAGTACTAAGCAGGCAGGTAACCCAAAAGAGTGAAGCGGGCTTCACAAGCCAAGGAGTACTGTGACTGTCCGCTGCCACTCAGCTCTACCCAACTGTCACCTTGAGGCAAAAAAAAAAAGCAATAATAAAACCATTCTACTGATTGATTTGTATATGGGCTGCCTTGTACATCTACTGTACACCTTTACAGCAATGGACAGAATGGCCAAGAACTGCTCTGAGTCAGAAGTACTGAGATTTAAACAGCTTGATTCTAATATTCTTCATGAATTTGCCCAAATTACATAATCTGAGTCTCAGTTTCTTCATCTGTACCTCAGTGAGTTTTTAAGTGAAGAAAGTTTAACACACATAATATTTTAAAATCTTGTATTAGATACAGAGAGGTAAAGATATAAAAGGAAACAGAAATGGGACAGTAATTCAAACCTCCGTCTAGCTGTGTGGGCTTCCCAGTTTTGGTCAAACTTATAATGCCTAGTCCCACCTTCCTCTCCGCCCCAGGCTATTTTTTTCACCAACAAAGTCTCTTCTTCAAGTTTTTTCTCAGCCTAACCCACACCTCCCGTTTCCTTTGAGCACTTTCAAGATTGGCATTGAGACAGGGCCTACGTTACTACTGATCTCTAGGACAAATTCATGAAAACTCCTTTCCTCTGAATGTAGTAGTTTTCTTCCTAAGTCTTTGAACACTGTGTGCACTTTGTGAATCCTTTATGACAATCTAAAAAATCTACCTATATTTTCATTGAACACTTTTATCTATCCTTCACTCTCTAGTAATGTTTAAGTAATGATAATGGATAAAGTTAACCAAAATGTCAATACATATTAACTAAAAGTTCGTTTCTAAGCGAAAAGATTTGAAAACAACCTCAGAATATCCACTCCAATGCTCTGCTTCTTTAGAAGGGAGTTAAGAATAACCTAATTTAGCTGGGTGTGGTGGCACACACCTATAATCTGTGTGGTTGAGGCAGGAAGATTTCAAATTGGAGGCCAGAGTAGGCAATTTAACAAGACCCTTTCTCAAAGTTTAAAAACATAAATAAGGGGATGTAGCTCAGTGTGAAAGCCCTAGGTTTAACTCCCAGTATCCTCCGCAGAGAACAAAGTAATTTACGTGCGGTAAACTTTCAGTTTACATGTTAAACTACAGTCATTATACTGACAGTAGTATATAGGTACACCAAAAGGAACAAACTGCTTTCCTTAAAAATGTATACCTAAAAAAAAATGTATGCCTGACTTTCCCAAAAAGAGAATTATATTGATTTCAGCTCATGTGGACAAATAATATTCTCCATTTGTTTTCTTGATAACAATCTGGTACCTTGATTCCTTGAAACCTCTGAGAATCAACAGAAATGTTAGGGTACCTCTCTCCAGGAAAATGCACAGAGTCTCATATATTTTTTTATCCAATTTCATGGCATTCAGAATACTACAGGATCTTCAGGGGAGTACCCACCCCAGGTTAAGATTTCTAGAGCCGAATATGAGGTTTGTAGCTGTACTTAAAGTCTTTTGATCTTAAAAAAAAAAAAAAAAAAAAGTCTTCCTTAATGAGACTTTAGCGCTGAGATTAACTAGGAAAGCAGCTTCCCTCCGTAACTGTCACTACTTCCTAGCAGCCCTCCTGACAGCCAGGAGAAAATCGAGAATTTCTTACCTCCGAGAAATTAACAGCCAAGGGAATGATTCCAGCCACGTAACATCCCACTAACATAGCCAGAGAGAGTAGACTAATGGAGATGAAATCATCCATTCTGCCCTCCTTTATTCACCCACCAACACCAGACTTCAAAATTCCAGCCGCTTCAAAAGGTGTTTAGTCTCTTTAAACGTGCAGTGTGGTTCCAAGAAAACAAATGGACTTTTCCGTTCTTTAGGCCTTCTCACCAGATGTGTTCACGAGGCACTTTTCTGTAAGTGGAAACGATCACTTTTTGCTGATACTAGCACCAGAGAAAACTTTGAGCACTCTTAGATCCCAGCCCCTGGGTTCGTAGATGCCAGTCACTGGATTTTCGTGGGTTAACAGAGATGGGGAAATTGTGAGAAAGAGCAATTTCTTCAATCTTCGGAATGAGGGTGATACAACGGCCCACTCCCCCGCTACACACACGTCTCGTATAGTAGGAAAAGGAGAAAAACCCAAGTGAACCTCTCTGTGTAGTCTCGGCGCCTGTTTTTCTCGGATGGCCCTGCAGCCGATCCACTCCCCAGGACTGGGACCAGCCCACCAGTCCCAGCACACTCCCCCCCGACTCTAGACCGGGGAAAGGAGTCTTGCAGGTCTGTAACGATGGGCCGTAGGGATTCACCAGCTAAGCTGACATAAAGATGTCTCTCCCCTATACCCGATACTGCCCGTGGTATTCCACTTCGCCGGGCCTCGACCCGGAGTCGGCAATACTACAGCTGCCATGGCCGCCAAGTGGCACCGCTTCATTACACTCACTTCCGGATTGTCTCAACGCCCCCTCCTTAGAAAGTCACTTCCGGGTTACAACCGACTTGTGGCCCGGGAAACTTATATTGCCGCCATTTTTGAACAGGGCTAATGAAAGATGTTTGGGGGCCATTCTCTAAACTGATGATCACTTTAGCGTGTGCCTAAGCACTACAATACAGAAGACAGTCTTGAAAGAAACAATTTTTTTCTAAAGCGCCAAAGCTTTCCCTTACTTAAGTGATCGCCCTTACCCAAGATGGCTGAAACTGAGCCAGCATCTTCTCTAGCTGCCGGAAGTGTGCTCACCTCTATGGTCTTCTGGACGACTTCCGGTAGCTTCTCTTGAGGAGATTGGCTGTGGCGGCGTTGCGGCTGAACTCGTGTGTGGCTCGTGGAGTCGGCGGTGGCTGCAAGAAAAAGAGTTTGGCGCGATGGTGAGAAAGGCCTCAGTGGCTACCGGAGCCCCTAACCTGCAGGGTGACCCTTTGCTTGTACATCTTCTATTCCCGCCCTTGCTATCCAGCGCGAGCTTGCTGCTCCCCGCTCCTCCCGCGCGCGGGCCGACCCTTCCTTCCCGCCGCCGAGACGTAGGCCTAGCTGTAGGCCCCGGACCCACATCCGCCTGCTGGCTGGGTCAAGGCGTGCCACGACCTGAGGATACTTTCTCCTCGTCGCTGCTCGGGCGAGGGTGTCTGGGACGGTGCTCTCTCCCTCGAAATGCTCTAGCCTGGTGTAGGAACAATGGCCGGGGGATAGCTGACAAACATTGTCCCGAAACGTTCGGCAGCTTATTGTACCTCTAGTGTGGACCAGGCGGGTCGTATTGGTTTTGTAGTATTTCCTCACCCGGAAAAAGTATTTTCTCTTTCTAAAGCCCCTCGGTGCCTTTATCTGGCGTTTCTACCACCCCCCAGCCCTGTTCTTAACTTTACATTCTCATGGGGCTAGAGTCGCCACCGATAGGCCCAGCTGGGAGTCCGGGCTCTCCAGAATCCGGCCGGGCTGGTAGGGGAGTGGGTAGGTGCTTTTTGGCGTCCTCCTGTGTGTAAATCAACAAAAAAGAGGCGCTCGCGGGGATGAGGAGCCGGTTATCCCGTGCAGTTACTGTTAGAGGGGAACTTTTTTCAGGTTGTACTTTTCTCAGTTGAGATGTGTCGGTGTTTGACCCAACGTAATCTCCGAAGGAGGACCGCGAATTGACGACTGGGTTTCAGTTCCTGTTATGCCATACATACCCAGCAGTGTGACCTTGGCCAAGTCACTCTACTCTTGAGTTGCCTTCTTTTTCTGCCTTTGTTTTGGTATTGTGTTAAAATGTTTAGATTCAAATATGAGAAAGTTGGGCCGGGGATTTAGCTCAGTGGTTTCGTCGCCTGCTGCGCAAGCTCAAGGACCCGAGTTCGATCCCCAGTACCAAAAAAAAAAAAAGAGAGAAAGTGATAGCAGCTAATATCAGCAGTCCATCCTCATTGGACAAGAGTGATAGCTTTAATTTTTTTTTTTTTTAATTTTTGGTAGTTCAAGGGAAACATTTGAAACTAATGAGCAAATATTTCTGTAATAGTAGGATGACTGTTCTTAGCGTTCGTTTTTATGGGACCTTAGAAAAAAATTATTCTTCAAAAAGAATCACTGTTTGATCAACAGAACGAATAAGGCTTTTATTAAGGAAATCTTGTATAACTTTTTACAGTCTTTTTAGCCCATTGTGGTAAATAGAAAAAAATACATACGTGTATATATTTGGCACTGGTCATTCCCCTGAGAAAGAACTGTAAGAAAGGGAAGGACCGAATTTGTTTAGGAGGAAATAATTGATAAGACAAATATTTTTGAGTTTTTAATAAGACCCAAGGATTCTGAGAATAAGCTGCAAAGATTAAAGTGACCAAATCTTGAAGTCTCTAAAATATTTTTAACAGAAATGCACTGCCACTTGAAAGTGATAAGCGTTTTGACTCATTTTGCAAATTTAGTCACATTCCATTATAGTATTTTTTAATCCTGGTCTGTGGGCAGTGAATATCAAAATTATTAACGTTTCCCACAGATTTCTTTAAAGACTATATAAAAATCAGTATTCTGTATAACTATTTCCATATGTTTGACTTTTCAAATAAATTACTCCTTTTGTTTGTATTAGAATAAGAACAAAATGAGTATGATAGCAACTACTACAATTAGTATACAGGGCAAGCTCTGTTGCAAGAATGCCTGTGTGGTTTCTGTAAGATTTTCTTTTCTTTTTTGGGGCGGGGGTTACCGGAGATCGAACTCGGAACCTTGCACTTGCAAGGCAGGTGCCAGAACCACTGAGCTAAATCCCCGGCTGTAAGATTTTCTTTTTAACAAATGACATGTTGAAACTGCCTTTTTTTAAATAGCTGACTTATTAAAATTGTATAATATATAGCAAATCTAATAAAATGCTTCCCCCAGGGACATTTAACAGTATCTGATTTTTAGTTGTCACAAGTTTGAGGAAGATGTTAGTGGTACTATCTAGTGAGTAGAGGCAAGGTATGCTGTTAAAACATTCTGAAACCACAGGACCATCTCAAAGGAATCATCCAGCCCGAAATGTAATAATGTCAAAGTTGAGAAACCTGGAAATTGACCCTCCAACAAAAAAATTCACCCCAGAGAGTATGAAATGAAATAAGTCATTTTGGTACAAGAGCTCCCCCCCCCCTTTTTTTTTTTGGTACCAGGGATGGAACTCAGGACCTTGCGCTTGCAAGGCAGGTGCTGGAAACACTGAGCTAAATCCCCAGCCCTAAGAGCCCTTTAAGTTATCTAATAGGTGGATAGCTTAATGGATTTGGGGGGGTAATATTTACTATATATATCAATTTTATATTGCCAATTTACCTTAGACCTTGATGTTAGAATCTAACCCCTGAGTAAAATGTGATTCCACTGTTGTTAGGAAAAAAAATAGATTTTTACAAAGTGTTTGCAATGAATGTTTCCCTTTTTATCTCCTTTCATGAGTCAGTATCTTAATTTTTATTAGGCGATTCATAAGGTTCATAAGAGTTCATTAGAGATAGTGACCCATGGAGACAGAAAACTGTAGCAGGTTTATAATTTGGTTAGGAAGAAAAGATGCAGAAGAAAAGCCAGTAGAAGGTCACTTTTGCTGAGTACTTATAGTTAGTAAGTATACTTGGAATTTGAGAACGCAATCACTAAAGACCCAGAGACTAGGGAAAACTGTCTAAGGGACTTGTAAATCATAAGTGCTAGTAGTTGAACAAAGTCATAGGATGAGCAGCCTAATTATGTTTTAATAACTAACAATCATTCAATCATTATTGTGTCACAGATTTGGATTTTATATCATACTGTGAATTTCTCAACTGTAAATTAGAAACTTCACATTGAAATCACTTTTTCCCCTTACAGTCTCACACTATTTTGCTGGTGCAACCTACCAAGAGGCCAGAAGGCAGAACTTACGCCGACTATGAGTCTGTTAATGAATGCATGGAAGGTAAGTAAGTTTCACATCAGTCCAGTTGTAAAGATCTTTGAGTTTTTTCCCCTGATATTCACTGTTAAAATGTGTTATGCCTATACATGTAAAGTATGTCACCCAGGTACCCAAGAGGCTATGTTAGAAGTAGCACAAGTTTGAGGCCAGCCTGGGCAGCTTAGCAGACCCTATCTCAAAAAATAGAAAGGTCTGGGAATATAGCTCAGGAGTAGAATGCCTTTGGGGTCATACTCAGTACCCCACACACACCAAAAAAATATGTATATATCTATCCTCTTAGGAACTATATTTGGGAGGTTTTTTCCTTTAGATTTCTTTTTCTTTCTTTCTTTTTTTTTTTTTTTGTACCAGAGATCGAACTCAGGACCTCGCACTTGCGAGGCAGGCAACAGAACCACTGAGCTAAATCCCCGGCCCTCCTCTAGATTTCTTAAATTGTTAATTTCAGCAGGGAAACTAGGTATTTAAAATAGGCCATATTTGTTGAATATTTCATATATTATGCCATCTTTTCCTGCTGCAAATATTATTTTACTATTTTGGTGTTTACATTCTTTTTTTTTTGGTACAGAGGTGGAACTCGGGTCCTTGCGCTTGCATAGCAGGCGGCGAAACCACTGAGCTAAATCCCTGGCCCTTATTTTACTATTTTAAATCAAGCTCATGCATATATTCAGTGACTTTCCAAAGCTCCTCATTCTGTTATTTCTTTTATTATGCTGTGCTTCATTATGTAAATATTTTACAGAACTCCTTGTATATTTCTGGTTAAACTCTAACACTAGAATTGTTAAGGCAGCCTCTGGGATGCCTTCAACACCTGATAGTTCTTCTGTTAAACAAATAAATGTTAAAAGCAATTAAGATTTGGTTACAATGCCTCAGAATTCTGTTAGAGAATAAAAATCAGCTCAGAAGGGCCCGGGGATTTTAGCTCAGTGGTTCCGCTGCCTGCCTCGCAAACACAAAGTCCCAAGTTCTATCCCTGGTACCAAAAAAAATAATCAGCCCAGGAAAATGCTAATGAAACAACACATCAACATAATTTATTGTGTATTTGATGAACGGGGATACCACCATGAAGAGAATTATCGTTTCTTTACTCAGGAAGCCATTAGAGCACATAAATTGGATTTTCACCATTCAGTTTTATCCTTATGTTTAATCTTTATATTGAGTTAACCAGTTGTGCATGCCCCACATATTTTCTAGCAAATTGTTCATTCTTCTTAATTTTTTGAGATAGGGTTTTGTTATATAATGAACTCACAGTGATCCTCCTACCTCAGCCTCCTGAGATTACAGGCTCGTACCACCACACCCAGCCTTTCATCACTTCTTCCACTTTGTTTTTGCTGCCGAACATGTCCTTAACACTTGTGATTATTCAAAACTAACTGGCTTAGATTTATAATATGTCCAAGTAAAACCAATCATAAGTACACCTGTGGAAAAAAAAAACTATTTGTAACCAGTTACCTTCTAGGTAGATGGTGTCATCCTATCCAGACTGCCATCA